TGATGTGACAGATCATAAAAAGCAGGCGCTGTCAAAAGCTGATGTATGGCAGAGTAAAAGGGCCCCAAGGTCAGAGAGCTGTCCTTCAATAGAAATCACTTTCCTTTTTCCTGTCCTAATTGGGGTGCATTAGCATCTTATGAACTGCTAAATTGTCAGATTTTTTTTTTTCCCAAGGATTTTTTCTTTTTTAAGGAAAGCTTTTATTTAAAAGATGCTTTCTTGAATTTTCTGACCATGGAGGGACAGCTTCTGGTCTGCATTAGTTTCACATTAACCTAAATTTTTACCCCACATCAGAAAGTGGCAAACAGCAAGCAGAGAATTTAGCTGAGAGAACACAGTAAATGTGATAGAGTCCATATATTACTATCAAATAACAAGCAGAAAATGACAATTCTGTGAATGTCCAGGAAGCTCTGAAATCTGTAGCATGACACATTTTCAATTTTGCTGGGTTAAGAAGCATATCTAATGAGTGCTATGTGCAATAAAAGCACACACCAGTCTCCCTCCTGGAATCAGCCACAGGTGAACAAGTCTCACCAGTGATATTCAAACTTTCCCAGCACTAACACCAGTGCTGGCAGGGACCAGTTGGCCTCATTTAGTTAAAGCCTTTCTTTTCTGAATACCAGCACTATCTACACAGAAAAGCTGCAAGCAGCTGCTTCAGAGAGGAATCAAGACTTGTTTTCACATAAACTACATGAAAAAAACAATGATGGACAAATGGAGTAATGGTATGTGCTCTACCAGCACTAGGAAGGCATTGAAGATACACAGGTATCATATTTAGTCACTGGGACATTAACTCTGATTATTGGGCAGGAATGTGAATGACAAATCACAGAAAAACTCATCAAAACAGAGCCCCTCCTCACTGGAGCTGAAGACTGTTCAACCCAAACTGTGCCACAATAGATTATAAGCCTCAGGCCCTTCTATAGTTTTTCCTGATGATGCCAAATCTCTTGGCATTTTTGTTTCCCTGTTTAATTTGCTGGGTTTATTAAAGCAGCCTGTGTTGCAGAGCAGCTTCATTTCCAATGCTGGCAATGTTCCATTCTGGGATTAGAAGCTTTTGTCCAGGTAACCTGCAGAGTTCAGAGCCTCAACACGAGATGCTGAGGAGATAATTGAAACTGTTAATATCTTTGAGCTTCCCTTCTCTATGCTCCTGGATTGGCACCATCTCCAGCCTTGAATGTGGATCAACTCAGCAGGAACACACAGAAAGCAACATGTTTTTGTTATTTTGGCTGAAAACTCAGGCCAAGTATTGATTTTCCATTTTATGCATAAAAATAAATGGTAATTTCTGATGGAGCGGGGGGTGACACAGCAGGCCACCCCTCACAGTCCTGCTGGCATCTTGCCTTCTCCCAGCCTCCAAAAATGGAGCACCTGTCTCCTGCTTTGGGCTTTAGAGGGAGCTTGAGCTTGTCAGGGAAATAACCAGAATTTCTATAAATGCTATAGGTGATAATATAAGGTAGGTGATAATAACATTGTTCTTGACATTTTTCTATTGTTTCTGAGGCAAATGATGTCTAGAGAGATTTAGCCTTTATTTAGCTATAAAAAATAAGCTGATGAAGCAGCCTGCGAAAAAATACAGTTACCTCTTAATTACATGTCAGGGATAACTGATACCTCATATTGGAGCTGGCAGCACTTGATATAAAAATCAATATATTTGTGAGAAATGGGAATGGCTGAAATAGTCTCAATGCTTTTGGATGATGTGTGACTTGACTGTGCCATGCCCATATCCTGCCTCATTCATTTCTGATGTCCAGACTCTTTTTGGTTCCTGTCCAACCTGACAGATAATAGCAGCTGTCACTGAAATCACATCAAAGCAGCACAGGAACATGATTAAACCAGACAGCCTCCAGGGATGTTCTCAGAAAGTGCTTGAACTGAGAGTTTGTATGGACTGAACGACAGAACTCAGAGCAAGGATTTGGAATGACTTCCAGGCTCCATTGAGAAAGTAATTTCATCTGCCTGAACCTCAGATTTTCCATTTGCATACCAGTCCTGCCATGCAATGCTCTTTCTGAGAGGTATAGGATCACATAAGAAGCTTTGAAATTTTCTGTGAAATTGCATTTTTTAAGGTTATTTGGCTTGCAGACCTCAAAGGAGCAGAATCTGAAGTCATTGATTTCCTACAATCCTGAACCTTAGGGGAAGGGAGTCCTAATTTCTCATGAATACACAAACTTCTCTATATATTTTACAATCACTTCTTTGCTATATGGCTTCACAAACGTGATGGCTTTATAAGTACATGCATGAAAATCAATGTATTCCAAAATTAGTGAACTCTTCCTCATGTTTTACAATTTCCCAGCTCTTTTTCATCTACTAAGACATTAAAAACAATGCCAGAGTTCTGTAGGCTTGGTTTTAACAAACCCAAACAGCCACTTCAGGACAGCACATGGGAAGACATCACGCTGTGGATAATGGAGCTGAATATGAGACATTTATTTCTCCCTGTGCGTCATTTCCCACTGCCTGGGATTTCAAACCTGCCAAGGAGTTACAAAACCAAACATCACAGCACAGAATTTCCAGCCAGCATCAGTCTCCAGCTCCATTTGCTCAACTCCATTTGCCAAGGATGGATACATAGGCTTGGCCTCATCCCTCTTTAAGTTGTTTATGATTTACTGTGTTAGCGCCAAACAGAGCAGGCAGGGGTAGTGCCATCAATAAAAGGCTGGAATAAATAACTGAAACTCCACCAAGGGCAGCATAGACACAACCCTATTTAAACAACCAGTCTTTGAGGTCAACTATTTATTATCTGCAGTATTTGGAACCTGTCTTACTGCTCAAGGTCAACACACAAATGGTGGACAGTCACACCCAAAGAAGAAAGAAACCTAAGCTTTTGTATTTTCATACCTTTTTCATTGAAATTCTTTCACACGGACTATTATACCAAATGTGTGCCACCAGAGTGTGGCTGGAACTAATAGAATAAAACTTCAGTCAAATACTCAAACCACTCACTTGAGTAACAGACAAAAAAAAGCCCAAACAAGGTGGAGTCATAATGCCTGCAGTCAAGACATGAAAGGAAAACACAGAACAGATGAAGGCCATCAAAGAAACAAAAGAAAGTGATTTGGGAATAAATGTCTAGATTTACACATTTGGCTAGTACACAAACATCTGGATCTCTCAGCTACTGGAACGTTGTCATTTGGATTAGCTCCACAGTCAGCATTGCATCTTGATCACAATCAGACTATTTGGGATGCCATTGCAATAAAATACAGCAGCTGAAAACATTCTCTCCTTTCCTACTTATGTTCCCTAGAACATGCTGTGCCCTCTGTCATGCTCACTGTTCGTTCTCTTAGCAACAATACACCATTTTAGTGGGACTATTGGTATTTTTTTCAGTGTGGCAAGCATTCAGCTCTGCTCAATAAGATCAAGCACCTTCCAGTGACCCTGTCAATGACACATTCCCAGAATACAGCTGGCTTTCCAAGCATCCTTTTGGATCATAGAACCATTGTAAAAACAGACATGTAAGATACTGTATACACACTTAAAACAGTCCCTGTAAGAGCTGAGACAGTTCTTTAGATTAAAAACTATTGTAGAGGGGTAGCACATACATTCTTAGTGTTGATCTATACACTTGTTCTCTTTTCACTTAGCATTAATATTCCCATTTATGCTTCTACAAATGCTGATGCAAAGCAATATATGAGGTTATATCCAATGATATAATTTAAAGTGGCAAAGCAATACCCAGATGTAACTTGACCTCCATAAACCATTTCAGCCTTTGTATTTAAAGTAGTCATCATCATAAATTTTCCTCCTCCAACCTCAGTCATTATAGCTGCATGCAGAAGAGGGCTCTCTATTCCAGTGCTTGTGTTTTGGTATCTGACATACGTATTCCATCCTGGACTCCCTGCAGTGCTGTTTCCCTGGCTGCATTCCCAGGATCCTGTGCTGCATCATCTGTACAGGTTTTCTTCTCCCTGCCTGGCTGCTCCCAAGCATCATGCCTCTTTATTGGCTTGTGAATCCCAAATTCCTTTGGATACAGCTAGCCACTATTAAATTTGAGGATTTACACGCTGATTAACAGCAGAATTGGATCTGTCTTTGTGTTACTATGAAACATTTGTGCTGTTACAAGACACATCATTTTCTTCCAAGAGTATATAAAGGTTTTTATATTTCATTTCTTTAAAAACAGAAATCACTCTCTGGTTAGTAACACTGTTCTGTCACACAGTCAAAACCTGCAAAGGCTGTGACAAATAGGGAGGTCATGGTCAAATTTAATAAGAGCTCACATTCCCTTGGAAATGCCACCAGGGAGCAGACAAAAGCAAGAATTTGCTGAGTTCCTGGGGGAAAGCAGAGCGCTTGCACCGAAGCCCTTGGTATGCAGATGGTGTCGCTGCCTTTCCAAACAAGCTTAGGTTTGAAACCTATGGGAACAAGCTGATGGGCTGAGGCTGCTGGGGAGAGCGTGCCCCGGGCTAGCTCAGGAGCAGCACAAGCTCACAGGAGGATGCCCAGGGCTGGCTCTTTGTTCTCACACCTCTGCGTGCCCCAGGAGCAGCGGGGAAACAGCTCTGCTCACTCAGTAGAGAGAGAAGAGAGAATGCTATTGATAAAAAAACCTCAGGCAGAGAGCTCCCCGCTGCTGTCCAGCTCTGGAGACGGGGGCTGGGTCCCCGGCTGGGCCCATCCCACCCTGGCCGGCCCGGAGCCGGTCGGGACGGGCGTGGGCCACCGGCGCCACCGCTTGGCTGCTGGGGCTGCCCAGGCTCCTAAAACCATCCAGCGCATCCTTTTCGCTTCGTGTCGCCGGCTCGTGGGGTGTAGGATGCAAGGCACAGCGTCCTGTGACTGCCACACGGCTGTGCCACAAGGGGACAGCGCTGCTGGGACCTTGGCCAACCAAGTGACACTCAGAGCACGGCTCACAGCACCTTTGTGCCTACCTGTGCTGGGCCTCAGCCGGCTCTCGGCGAGCTCCGAAATGGCTCCTGTTGTGATGGTCTTCTTCAGCCTGGAGACTCCCGCAGCTGCTGCTGGCCCAGGTTTGGTGAGCATGTCCTCACTGCTCGCCCGCTTCAGCTGTGACACAGAGGGTGGAACAGGTCAGAACCCTGAATATTCCCATCAGTTAGTTCAAAATGCAGAAAAAAATTAACATTTTCATAAAGTAACCCCACGGGAATTATTGCCTTGATGACTGGAGTACATAATTTTTGTATTTGCACTGCATTCTAGGTTTTTGTGAAGTGGGTTAAGAGATAAAACACTTTTCCAACAATGAAGAATAAAAATGGGAAAGACTGTTCAAAAAGGCAAATAATTGAACGGTAACAAGAAACCAAGGTCCACTGGCAACTTTTTGGGAAGGAATCTCTGATGATACAAGTCTACTCTAAGTGCCTACTCAAGAAATCCATGGAACACAAGCACAAGGTAAAATTCAAAGAGAAACACTGAAATTATCTTACTTCAGCAAGCAGAAATTGCAGCTCATCTCAGAACTTTGGTCAGCTGATTTCCCATTTGTGTGCCTCTAGTAACAGTTTCTAATTAATTTCAGGAAAAATACTTTAAGTATTTTAAGACCAAAGCTTTGGAAAGTCTCCCTAGAGCAGTAGTTTTCCTATACTTTTGAATCTGTGGATACCTAAAGTGTTTTCTCAAATGAAAATCCACCTCCTTTGAAGTTGTCCAGTGCCACCGGGGGTCCCTGAAGCACAGACTGAACACCACTGCTGGGTTAAGAGAAAAGAGAGCACACAACAAGCACTGCCCCTATTTAATGGTTCCTGAATGTGAGACATTTAAGCAAAATGAAATCTTTCAACTCTAATTCCTTCTCCCTTTCATCTCCTCCTCTGACTCAGAGGCTGTGGTTTCCTGGACCCTGTGAGCCCATAAGTTTCAATAGCTGAACTGTTGACGGTGCTCCAGGATACCAAACAAGGAACATTTTGCCTTCTGGCAGAGGTTTTGTCAGCTCAGTCTTAGGAGGAGAATGGAGCAACCTGACTTTCTGACCTTCAGAGAGTTCTGCAGTCTCTCTGAAGTAATTTCTTCAATGTGTTCTTTCCTATACCAACAACTACATTGCCTTTTCTACTCCCTTTCTTCAAGGAAGCCAATTTGGTAATTTTGAATTTGCAGCTGGATGACAATTTGAAGGCATTAGCTGTCATTAGGAAGAAATCTCTCCGCAATTAACACTAAATTTAACAAATCAATCGTACCAGATTTCCTGATTAGTGTACTCAGTAGCATTCCTTCAGAGATGCTGCCTCAACCACACAGTACAACTTGCCCGGAGCACTGAAATACCCTATTGGTAAGTGCACAGCAAGGTCAATAAATTAATCCCTTCCTTGAAAATCTGTGACAATGAATGAAGTTTTAATCGAGATCTAAATACTGTACCCTGCTATCTACTGTTAATTAAACTTTATTACTGGAAAGTTACAACCTTGATCTGGATTTGGATGACAAGGTGATTTCTCTTTGCTGGCTGCAAGAGTGCAGATGCAGCAACATTTCAGGTGTATTATTCAATTTTCTTAAAAACATTACTTGGACAGAAGTTTCTGTTATTTTAAAAATGTATCTGTATTAAAAAATAAGATTCATAAAATGCATTTGTTATATTGCAATGTCTTCTGTTAAGATATTTTGCCTTGAAGGAAGAAGCACAGGTTTTAAGAATGCTGGAAATTCATTAATAAATCTCTTTGAATTTCTTTACATGTGTAACTATCAGCTGAACTAAGAATTTGCCATTTGTTTTCCCCCATCTTCAAAGTTTAGGCAATTCCCTCACCCAGAGAGTGTACAGATACAGTACATGCAAAATACTTTGAGAAATGTGTATTAATCTAATACACAACAAAACTTAAATCTCCCTACACTTAACACAGTGAGTGTAGTAGTTTGAGGACTAAAGCAAAGCTTTAACCTGGAACAAGACTGGAATACTTGAACAGTTTCCAAGGATTAGTACCTTGCTGAGCCGGGATTCAAAGGCAAGGGAAGTGGAGGATTTGGATGTCTTCATTCCTGTGGAGGTGGTGGAAAGAGGTTTTCCTCTGTCAACCCCATGGCTCCCTTGCTTTGCTATTGTACTCCAAGGCCTGGCACTACTCTTCATTTTCTTCCCAAGTAATTCAGTCTACAGACTCTAAAAAAAAAAAAAGTTTACATGTATTTATGCACTCATACAAAAATATATCTTATCTTTTTTGACCCAAAAGGCAAGAGAGATATCTGACATGAGTTTAAAGGGCTGAAAAGGCCATATTAAACTCTCTCACAAACATAAGCACTGAGCCTAGAGAAACTTTCAGAGCAGGCCACAGCCACTTTTACTTTTCATACCAACCACAGAAGGAACATTAACTTTTTTGGGAACTGCTTAAGTCCCAAAACCTCACTCAGGCACAGCAGAACACCTGTGAGTACTGAAGCACAATGAAAGAGTAACTGAGAATTTTGAAGCCCACAGCAATTTAAAACAACCCTGGGATAAAAGGAAAATAACTTTTTTTACCATTACATCCAGCATTTTCAACTGAAATAACATTCACTTTTAGAAAGTCACATGAGAAACAAGTTTCCTCAGATGGGTAGAAAATATATCTTTAACTTATCAGAGTCTTCTAGAGGAGTTGATGTTGCCACAGTGATAAAAAGATGTTCCACAATACCAAGACTCACAAAACATAGTAAAAAAAAAAAATCAACTTCCTTGCAAACAAAGATCCACATCCACTATTCCTCAGAGATAAGCTTGTGCAAGAGAGAAATCCTGCCAGGAATCAGCAAACAGACATGATTTCCTTTTTTTGGATGTAGCTGAAGACATTTCAGCTGCCAGCAGAACAACTAGCCTGTTTCCTCAGCAGGCTGACAGCTGCCAGTTAAACAGCTCCCTCCACTCCTGGAGATCTAAACCCATACATTTTCACCAGCCATTGCCCAATCCACACCATGAGCAGAATAAAAGAATTATTTGGATATTTTTTCCAAGTCTCACCATCCTGCTGGGCTGGGAATGAGGGAGGGGAGGTGGCCTGATATCTCCTGTCCTCCCCCACTTCATATGAGCAACATTTTCTTCATTTTCCAAAATAGACACAGGATGTAGCTGTGGCTCAGCCTTGTGTAGGCAGAGGGTAACTTGTCTGTTGAACAGGTAAACAGAATATCTACAGGCACAGGTTTTTAAGAATGCTGGACTCTCATAAATAAATCTCTTTGAATTTTTTTACATGTGTAACTACAAGCTAAACTAAGAATTTGCCATTTGTTTTTCTTCATCTTCAAAGTTTAGGCAATTCACTCACCCCCAGAGTGCCCAGTGCCTGGCAATGTGCTCAGAGGGAGAGTGAGCTTGGACAGCAACACTTTGACAGAGACACTGAAACAATTTATTCCTGTCTGAGTCAGGAGGGGCTCCGGTCACATTTTACATCTCATCATTTGCTTTATACCTGATTTCACATTCATAAATCTGAGCATGCACTGAACTCCCAGGACACAGCTCTGTCTGGGGCCAAGGAGGATTTTTGACAGTGGCAGCACCTTGCAGGTGCCACCACGGTCTGTTCAGGGAGTGCTGCTGCACGGAGGTGAAGGCAATGTCAAGTGCTCAGCTGCTGTTCCCCAGAGAACAAAGCCAGCAAGTGACATTCCCTCTATTTGTCCTTGGTGCCTCTTGCAGGGGGGGGCTGTCTGCTCTCTCCACAGCAGTTCCCTATCAGCTCCTAAATAAAGGAATTAAAAAGTTAGTAGTTGTTGCTAAGTATAGGCATTACTCTATTAAAATTCTTACCACATCCAGTGAGGAGCCATCCACTGCTCTCATTAAGAGCCTTTGGTGATGATTATGCTCATCACTGTTTTAAAGCCCTGACAGATATGTAAACTATATTACAATAGATATTATTTAGCACTCCCACAGCCCATGATCCACCTTAGCAAGCTTTGGTGCTTTACAATATTTAAAAACCTATCTTTTAACAGGCTCTTAATCCTTTTAATGAGCTTTTAATGTTCACTGTATTTATATGGGCGAACAGGCAACTACACATGCAAACTCTCTTGCTGATTAGATCTCCAAATTATGCAGATTTTTGTTTTTTGCAGATCCAGTGGTTGCACATACACTGCTTTATTAGACCCTATGGTTTTCTTCATAACAGTACCTCATATTTTCCTGCCTTAAGCTGTACAGATGCTTTCTTGATATCCAAAGGAATTTAATTTTGAGTCATCCATGACATTTTCAAGTTGCAGTGGAGTGATATGCTCATTAGACCATGATGTTAGGAGTAAAAGGAAGAGGTACTTAAAGAAAAAAAAAAAAAAACCAAACCACAACTCAAGAAACCCAGCCAGTAGCCTAAAGCAAACTGGCTTCTTCATGTAAAGAGAGCTGAATTATTTGCCATGTGGATTCAATAACATTTTAGTGCACCAAGAAGATGAAGCTAAAATTGAGAAGAAAAACCTGGATTTTTTTAGTGTTTATTATTAGTTTTCCATGTATTTAGAGGAGAACTGGCATTTATTAAAGATGGAGAAGACTTCTCAGGTGTTTGGCTAACCTGAATTTGCCTTGTAGATAAAGATTTCCACCTCTGAAGTGGGATTCCAAGATTTTCCACAAGCCTTATATGTACTTCAAAGCACCAAGCCAGGTTGCACACATCCTAAGCTGCTTTCATTCCTAAGTAGGTGACACATATTTGAGTTATTAGAAGTACTGCTTCAGTAGTGCAAAATTAAAGTACTTAAAAAAAGTGGAGAAAAAAAAAAAAAAGTCCTGCTGTTCTTTGATGAGAGCAGAAAATCCATTCTCAGAGTCACCATCAGCTTTCCCCCTCCTCCAAATGCAATTTATTGCATTACAATGAAACAAAACAAAAAAGCTCCATGGAAGGTGAGAGCAGTGGGGACAATGGAAAACTCTGGAGTTCAGCATCATGAAATTGCTCATGGAAGGAGCTCATGGTAGCAGTGAACCAAAATATGAACTCAGCTATCCCAAATGTCTGCAGCCAGGCAGCAATCAGGACACCCAACACTGGCAAGGAGGTTTCTCTTATCCTGGTGTAGAAACAGCACATTTATTAAAAACATCAAATCCAGCTCTTATCTACTTGTGTCTTAGAAGTAACTCTGCTGTATTTTCACTAAATATCAGCCTTTCCTTCCACAAGGACCCCAGGGAGATTGATTTGATCTCTAGGCTACCCCCGAGGGAGACTTGAAAGAGAAGCAGCTTTCCACAAGAGACACAACCAAGTTGTTTCTGCAAACACAGGGACAAAAATCAATTGTTTTACACCCATTCTGTGTCAATAAATTTCAGATGAGAGCTGCTTCTCATGGGAAAATGATTTGCTTCAAGCAATGCCTGGAGCTGTGTGGTTTTATTTTTCATTTTTGCACATTTCACAGGGAATTTTCCTTAGGAAGCAAACAGAATTACTGCCATCCTGAGACTCAAAGTCCTCCTTTGGCATCAGCCAGAGCAGGGCACTCAGCTGGGCAGACTAAATCCCTGTAGCATGCCCTGCTTGGAGCTGGACTCTGAAAATAAGGAAGCAACCCCATGCTGAAATAAATGAGGACTCAGCAAGATGTAACTTGAGCAAAATTGGTTCTATTCCCAGGCACTTCCAGACTGCAGGGATTTGGGGTGGTTTTTTTAAATCTTTTGCACCCAAAAGTGGTGTCTGCATACACTCCTCCTCTGAAACAGGTACTGCAAATGATAATCAGGTTTACCAAAAATGTAAAGCTGGTCCTGACAGAGCAGCTTCACTCAGTAATCCTCAGAATTCCCTGCAGGCATCAGCCTTTAAAATTCAGGCCATGCTATACAGTTCATCCTTCCTTACTGGTATTTTTAAAGGATATTTGGAATATGTTGATGAGGACTATTTTGGCAGCTGGCAGAAGTTCTGCAGTCCATTTTACTTGAAATGTTACTGTTTTATTAAAGGCTGAGAACCCAGACATTTCTTTATTAGTCTGTCCACATGCATTTATTAATAAAAGTCTTTAGAACAAACCTAGAATGATTCCCATTTTATGGCTAGAAAAACTGGATTAAGAATTTATCCTAACTCACAGGCAGTCAGCATCAGCAGAAACAACACCAGGGCTCCAGGATCTTTAGACTTCACTGTGGATCAAAAGAGGATTTCACCAGTTCTGTGGATAAACTTCTGGTACACACATTCTGCTGACTATTAAAGGCTATTTCATTCTGAAGAACTAAAAAGAACAGATAGGTTGATTTGAGTGATTATGAGCAATATTATTTAATAGTCAAGAAACCTAAAAGTTGCATTATTAAATAAATAAAACTTATTAGTATAGCTGCAGAAATAACATTACACAGGAAAATCCTTCTTGGGGGATGGAAATCATCTGTACCCCACATATATAATTGTTATACAATTTAGGTTTTGGTGCCCGTGTCTGTGTGTCAGGACTCAGCAGGACACTCAAATTAAAGCAGAGCCATGCACAAGATGCTTTGGGAAAAGGAATGAGATAAAGAATTATGAAAACTCATTACTGAATCTGGAGAGAAATGTGCCAGATGGCAGCTTCACCAGGACCTGGGAATGCCCAGCAGTCCTGAAGGATGAGGCTAAAATCCCAACTCTGCAGCTAAGGCTCTCAAAGGACACAAGTGTGACTTTTGTGGGTCAAACCTCACAGTCCCCAGTGCCATTTTCCTGTAATTCAGTTACTTTTCATTACATCCAAAGGTCAGACTGTTCCAGAAGCTTTGTTACACACACTCATGAATTCAAAGCACGATTTTCTTTCCTTTTTTTAAAATCTGCATCAGGCTTCTACTATTTTCCTTCTAATCAACTTCTGCTATTTTCAGACAAACTATCAAATGGAACATAGAAATATCTAACAAGTTCAGTAAACTGTAAAGTATTTTCTAGTGGCACGTAGGAAGCTGTATGGCAGGATAGACAGCTGGGCTAAAATAGATTTATTTTTTCTGCCTTTCACATCAATTAACTTTAAACAACAGTTTTTAGGCTTGACAGATGCCTCCATATGACTCATCTTGATTTCTTAACTGATATTAGGAATCAAACCAGAGAAGCTGATAGTCCAAATACAGTAATTGGCAATGTGGAGATAGATGGCATGAAGAAAACTCTATTTAGAAATAAGATCAGGCTAAAAAATAAAAACAAGGTGCTATTTTTTGGTCACCTTTAGCAGCTTTCCTCAGGCATCTGCTCCTTTTATCTCAGTAGAATTTCTGTATCTATCCATTCTCTCTTTGCTTTAATTCCTATTATCTTGCTCTTGGTGTATTTGAGGCTCTCGGTGCAACCTTTCTCCATCACTCCTCCCAGCAGACACTTGCTGGATTCTTGCTGGTACAAAGCTTAGCTTTAATTAGAATTGGATGAAAAAGGCCACCAGCAAAAAACACCCCAAGCCAAACTACCTGTTTCCACCTAAACACAACCCAGACAAAAAACCACCTGTCTCCCAAAACCTCCTCTCTAAGGCTCCTCTTGCTTTTGCTGTCCAAAAAGAATCAATTATAAACCTGAGCCCCAACACTTCACAGTTTCCTCTGGTCTACCTCAGCAGACTGACTCTCTTTCCAATTTCATTTGCAGCTGAATTTTCGTGGTTTGCTGGTAGAGGATCAGGAGACAAGACATCACTTGGGAATTTTCATGTCCAGACAGCAGGGCAGATTCTGCTGATTTCATCCAGAAGGATTGTTTTACTGCTATTATTATTATTTTCAACTTTTAATAGTGAAGAAAATTATACTGTAATAAAACAGCTAGGTAGCTGTAGAATCCAAGTGATCTTGCAAGTAGTTTAAATGCTGTTAAATTTTAGACACAGAACTACACAGGAATGAGGACACAGACATTCCCAAGGTCACATATCTAGTCACTCTTTTTGGCTGTAGCTTGCTTTGCATTTTTGTTTTAATGATTCTTCCGTAGAACTCTTCAACATCAAAAGAGCACTTTCAATGTGGCATCAGATGAGAATTTTCTTACCAGGGGACACAGCTCTACCTTTCCTCTATAAGCAACTATTGCAGAGCCAGTTCCTTCTCCCTGTGGTGTCAGCTGCAAATAGATAATGGAAACTCCCTTGAACCTCCCAAAGACAAAGTTTATCTGTGGTTACAGTGGTCAATGACCAGCTCACATTTTTGTGTTAAGGTTTTCTTGCTTATTTCCTTAGCATGTTTTCAATAATTCCCTACAACTGGTATTTATTAAGAAGCACACAAATGTACTGAAGGGTTCCAAGGATGTCCAAAGTACATCAGAGATGGCCCAGGCAAGGACAGGTCCAGGCAGCCACATGTGGCACCTTTCCAGCCATCAACTCAGCCTCCAAAACCATCCCCAAAAGGCTGCCAGAGGCCAGGCCAGCAACTGCAGAACTCTGTGTCTCAACATCATTCAAAATAAAATCCTCTTCCCACAGCAACCATTAGAGTCATTGATGACTTTTTCAGACATGGACAGCACTACAAAACCTTCTGCCCACCCTCCTCCACAGAAGCTCTCCCTGGAGTTTTGGATTTGTCAGTCTTTCACTCATTGTTAGATCACATGAGAAAAATGCAGAAATCACAATAAAATCCTCATGTGTGCACATGGATAAGGAATTGGTTCAGCTGCATTTCCCTTGTCCTTGTTCCATGCTGCTGGCCATTTATGAGACAGGAAAATACAGATATCTCTGCTGTCATCCAGCACAGTGACTGATGCTGGAAAACCAAGCCAAAGCTGTACTGGGAGATGCCTGGGAACATGCTTGTCCTGTATTTGAATTACACTGTTTGCACATGGATTCTCCATCTCCTCCTCCCTCACACTGATTATCTAACCAGCCACTATTACACATCTCAGAAGAGAAATGCTGCTACCTCCTGATGACCCCTGATCTTATAAATGAGAGGATAAAGAAACAAAAATCCCAACCCAGCTGTAATTTTCTACATGATGTGGCAATTCTGAATCACAAACATCAGGTTACTGAAGGATGCACAAGAATATTCAGGAAGGCTAAAAATGATGCATTGACTCCAAACTCCCTTTTTGAAGTTACAACCACATTATAATCGTGAATAATTAGGTCACTCTGGGCTTCCCCAATATGACTCTGTCCCGAATAGATGGGTTTCATTCATGTTCAGTCCATTCAGGTTGAGAACAAAAATGTTTTAGAGCCATTTCAAGGCAGCTATTGCTCATGAATCCATGTTCTTTGAACTACTGTCCCAGTGAACACAGCACAAAGTGACACATTCAGCCACTTCATGTTTTGCCAACCCACAAGAAGGAAGAGAAGAAGGCTTCATTGCAGATAAAGCAAGAGCTATATAATTGCTGAAGAAATTAAGAATAATTACAAGTGGTTTGCCTGATAATTACCTGTCATTACATTTTTCTGTAGCATAGAGGGTAGACACAACTACAAGAAAGAAAAGGAATGATGATGTTTTTTTGGAATAGCAGAGATGCACAGCATGTGGCTACATGGTAATCCTGACTGGTACAGACACTGGCAGCTTCCCTGTCCCCTCAGAGCATGGAAGGATGATACCAGAGGCAATGCATTCCATGGAATTCCACCTGATTCCATCCTCAGCTTCAGCACAGAATCATCATACCCCCTCAGCCAGGCAATCTTCCATGCCTTAGTTTTTCCATTTGTAAAAATGGGATAATAATTGCTTGCTATATAGGGTATTTACAAAGATGGACTCATTCGTTTGCCTTGGAAAGGAACCCCACAGGAAAAAAAAAGCAAAAATTAGGTAAATCAACATCTGTCACGCAGCATGCAAGCGAGCAGCCTCACAAATTGCCACATGCTGGGATGTTTCCCTGACTCCCGTTTTCCATCCATCACAGTGCAGAGAAATAATTGAGATCTGGAAGCTATCCCTTAAGGAGATATTTATCTCCCATTAAAGAGCAAAATAACTCACTTGAAGTTCATAAACTGGCAACTTCTGAGTGTTTATGAGCGGCAGCATGAACTTCTGACAGAAAGGGCTCTTTGCAAAGATGAGGAGGTAACTCCAAAGCTGCAGGAGAAACCAGAGGACTTCTGCATTTTAAAAATATTCATAACGAACAGGAACAGAACAGACCTAAGCAACAGTTTGCAGCTGTGACTGGGGGCCACCGATGGAATGAATGACCCACCTTGGTGGGCTACACAATGAAATTAAATTACTTTAGAACTGCACAAGAAAGGGAAGGGGTAGCACATTGTCATGTGCATGTTAGCAGGAGGAATTTCTGTGGTAGTTACAGAAATTGTGCAGAAAAAACACTGTTTGAGCAAATCAGGTATCCTCTCTCCTGCCAAGGTTACAGGGGCAAAGAACACCTTAATTTAGAAAGAAATATGCAAACCAGAAAGGATCAGTAGGGGATTTCTAGAACTGTACAGAAAAGAAAAAGGTAGAGAACCCCCGTTTTCAAACCAGTTCTACCACTAATCCTTTACTGCTACACACACAGGATTTAATTAACATCTCTCCAACTTTGCCATATTACCTGCTCTATAAATGCTGTTGTTATTACAATTGTTTTTATGACCAATCTTCATCCCCAGTACAATTTTAAAAATAGAGGTGCTGCAATGAAAGAGTCCTGCTGAGAACCTGACCAGCTCTGGCTGTAAGAGATACCTGCTGGAGTGCCCCCAGTGCTCTCCCTGCTCCCACAAACATGAGCTGCCAAAGCTCCTGGCTCAGCAGTCCATTCCCTTCTGCCCTTCCTTGACTGGACTGTGTGCACATGCAGCAGCACAGGAAACCCTGCTTGTGCTCCTGCTTCATTTCACTGTCGGGGAACAACCGTAAATTGCCAGAGGAAAAAGCAGGAACAGAAACAGCTTCACCCCTTCTGTCACTAAATCAATGTAGCTGAGCAAGAGGAAAAGACAGTAGCCAGCTCTCATGAGGGAATTTCTTTCTGCAGTTGCAATGGCTTTTAGACCATCCTCAGCCCATTTGCAGCTAACACAGCCGTCTTTACCCTATTTTTGGTTAATTAATTTAGTTGTACATTGGGATACTATGAAAAAAGTGTTGTTGAGCAAAGCAGGTTCATTCACTCTAAACATACACTATTGGCCCAAGAATTCTTCTAGAGATAATACAGCTCCCATCATAAAAGAAATAAAAGATAATAAAATACTTACAGTAAAAGCTTGTCCTCTTTTCTGCATTAAAAAGAAAAGTGTCTCCCACTAGCTTCTGACAGCATGTGCAAGCCAGACTGAAAATTCAGGGCTTGAGTGCTTCCCTGAGAGGAAAACCACATTGCAGAGAGACACAGAGCTGCTTGAGAAATGATTCACACACGGAAGCAAGCTGGCTCCACCGGCGCCTCGGCATTCAGCACACACACAGGCACTCGCTTACTCAGGGGAATGACAAATATTATATTTTCATCAAAGCAAGGAGGATTTATGCAAGAAAGCAATTTGTAGCCTAGGTCCAAAACAGTGAGATGCTTCAATCCTTAAAGCAGACGAAGAGTTTCTTTCAGGGTCCCATCATCCCCAACTGCAGGACTGGACGCTGGGCAGAGCATAAACCACAAACTGGTCTGGATGATCCAATTAAGCAAAAACATGCAGCACATACCACAGAGAAAGGGCAAGGAGGTGGCATAGAAAAAGGCATTTTCAGAGGAAAACACAGAAGCAGCCTTCAGAATCTTTTCTATTCCACAATAATACATCCCCCAGAGTGCCAGCAATCACAGCCAGGACACCTTATGACACTTCCCTTGCCTCCATCACTGCTTCAACAAAGTGGAAGTGTGGGTGTAGGGAAGGAAGGTGCACTAAGACAGAAGCTTTTACAAAATGAACCAGAATCAGTTCTGAGTGAATCGAGCTGCCCGAGAAGGGTCAATCTGTTCTTTATTTAGAAAAGAGCAAATAAAGGACAAGAGCAAACAAATGCTTGAGAATGTTCCTCTTCCCTAAGATTTTTGAAAAGAATTTCATGATTGAAAACAGGAAGAACAAGGCCAGAGGTCTTAACAGAGTTAAAGCAAGCAGAGATAGTATCAAATTGAAGGAGACAGAAGAGATGAAAAAGGCATCAAATCCAAATTTCAAACATAAAACTAACATGTTTTAAACAGAGCTTTTTGTCCAATTCTGTCTAGAGAGGATCAAATCACCCTCTGGTGTCTCTGACCAAAGAATTCCTACAGACCAGGAATTCTCCCTCTGAACAGTGTGAACCAGGTATTTAAGTAATGTTGATACTACAGCAGATGTTTCTAGTAGATGCTGAAGAATCTGAATAGTTCAACCTTATTGCACCCTCCTTACTCGAGGTGCCAAAGGGGCCTGAAGGAAGCTGATGCTATGCCAAGAGTTAATTTATGTTGTAGCTCAGTGTTGGCAGCACTACTGTTATCACAGAGCAACCAAACCTACAAATCAGATCGAGTCCAAGCCAAATCAACTCTGAAGATTATGGATTTGAGATCCAACTTTCTGATATTCTTAAGAGTAATGAAATTTTATCTTAAAATGCCAGAACAAGACAAAAGAGCATGCCATTATTTGGCACAGGATAAAGTAAAGCACTGTGTTTAGCAGGTCTCAGATACTATTAGTTTTAAGTCCCCAAATTCAGTCAGAATTCAGTCAGGTGCTATTCCAACTTTGCCAAGATGCACAATGTACCAATCCTTCTATTCAGCCCATTTTGACATTTTCTTCAATATCCAAGGTCAGGCTGTGTGACCACTGGTAGAACTTACCTGTTCTGTATTTTTACACAACATTCAGAGTTCTTGGGATCATTCACAGCTCAGATAAGGAGGAAGTTGCTCAGATACTTGATCTGAATGCAGTGTTCCTCCTCCCTGAGGAAGTAACCCCACACATGATGCAGGCACAGGCAATGAGGGTACCCAGGGGAGGAACAGCAGCTCACTGCTCTGCTCTGATCATGGACCACCTTCACAACTGAACACATGCAGCTCAAAAATACCAGCTCAGGGCAAACAGCTGAAGGAACCTGGACCCTGAGCTCATAAATGAGAGGGACATCAGGTGCAGACACCTTGCTGAGAAGACTTTGGCTGAAGAAACCCAACCCTTTTTGGAGAGCAGCCCCTCTGCCACTGCTGGTGAGTTTGTTTGGGCTCAGAGGGATAGCAGTGTTGGCAGCTTGATAGGTTTTCCTATCCTCCAGCCAAGAGAAATAAAGAACTGAGATGAGGGAGGGGAAAGGCAAGATGAGCTCCTGTATTGCACTCTCAAATATCATTGGGATACATTTGATAAATATAACTTGACCAAAACCTAAAAATGAAATGCTTGGCTGTAAGGAGACAGTCACAACATTTACATACTTCAGCTTGGGGAGACAGCCTGAAATAGTGGTGAAGAATTTCCCTAAACCCAAGGAGACCAGACAGAATATTTGTTTATTTAGGTTTTCTGGTAGCCCTTATGGCTATAATTACCTGATCTCTTTACTTTGACCAAAGTGTTATTCAGCATAAAACTGTCCCAATTGATACATTGCCTTTCTGTTTAATGAAAAAAACAGCCCAGAAACAAACAGCTCAAATGAGTTGGCCAGGCTGAAAGAAAGCCAAGGCCTTAACCATAATTACTTTCACACAGCCAGGGTGAGAAAACAATTTCAAGTAGCAATATAAACTTTTTTCAAGTATATGCCAGGTTCTCACCCAGCTGGTAAAATTGGTTGACAGACAAAAAAACAGTGAACATATTGCCTGCATTCTGCTCAATGCACTTGCTCCCACAACTTCCCTACAAGGTATGAGAGAATAAGACCAAACCTCACCATTAATACACCTTTAAAATACTGCATTTGAGGAATTTAAAGGCTTTATGCTGCAAACTGCATTAATGGTACAATTCCACAAGAACAAGTATGGATGAGAACTTAACGAAATGGGCAATGGGCAGAATTTTGGGTGGCACAGCTCATTTGAGAAGCAAATGCATAGTGTAGAAAAAAGGCTCACACAAGGAACAAGGTTTAAAATATCTTTGCATTTACAGATATTTATGCCATATTTAGCTGCTTTTGTGCATGAAACAATCTTAATTACAGAGGAGAGAAATTCCATAAACAAGGCTATTATGTCAATAACAATGTCTTTTTAAAGCAAGTCTCTAATCCAACTGTAAGGCTCAGGACATTGCTGTCTGGAGTTGGAAAACCAGAAGCAATTACAAAGGCAAGCCTGCATCAGACAGGGGATATTAGTGGAGTCAGGCCATGGCTTTGGGACAGAATTTACTCTGTGCTTTTTCCCTTTTGGACATAACTGATCCAAACTGCTTTATTTTCTCAGTTGCAGTGCAGATGTCAGGAAGTTCACGCTGCTGGTGGACGTTTGCAGAGTGAATCATGGGGCACCACTTTCCATTTTGACAAAAACAACTGCTGCTCAGTCAACAAGATGCTGCTGATCAAATGGGTGGATGGAACTCCTGCAACTGCTGCCAAAAAGGCTCCACCAGCACAAGCAAGCTGTGTGAGCTGCCTTGGAGAACTGGGATTTATTTTTCCCTTCCTATTCTTAAGAGACTACTCACCTAAGGGGCTCAGCCCGTGGCTACCAGCTTTGACCTGCAAGTGGAGAAAATGCTTGTTGCTGGAAGAGACTAGAATAATCAAATTGGGGTGAACAAAAGGCAGATAATGTTTGATGGAACATGGAGTGCTATAGGAGACAAGAAAAACAGCTTCCTCTGGTGCCTATTGCCAAAATTTCAGAGGACCAGACAACAACTTGAGAATTTCCAAGGGAACAGCCACTGAGTCAGTCAAAAATAGAACTAGGAAACTGCCTGTTTCAAAATCACTGTAAGATCTGCCAGCATTTTTCAGTATTTCTGTAATTTCCGAGTAGAACACTCAAGAGTTAACACACATTTATCTACCCCCCTCCAAAAAAAAAAAAAAGCCAACCCACAGAAAAAGGCAAAATGAGAAGGGAAATCTATGTAGCATAGAAACACTCATCATATTTCATATACTTAAAATAAAAATCACTGATCACTTTTCCACACATTTATGCAAAGTTTATTATTCTTTGCAATTTTCAAACATCTCTACTTCCTTAGGCATCATCAACAACCAAGGACAGCTTTCCTGCAGCCACCCTGTTATTCAAAATGTGGATAAATCTAAACATGCAAAAATAGGCAATACTGAGTGCTCTTCCCTGAAAGAGGATGGTAAGACTTAAACTGTTCTTTTTTACTGGTTTTTTTTTTCAATGATTAAAAGCAAGAAAGGCTTAAGGGAAAGGGAGTAACTTTGTATTTTATTGTTCCTCACTGTTAGTTTTCTGCTATATAGGTTATAATGTGGCACTCATTAACAATTCATAGAAAATTACCATATTCAAGTAGCACAGCAAGTTTTTACTACCTACCCAGGCAAAATCCTGCATAAACCTACTTGCTCCCTCTACATATTGTCCCAGAGGGATCTCCTGCTGGAAAAGCTGGCATTTTATCACCTAACGGGAGAGGAATTCCAACAGGTTGGAAACTCCAAGGAGCCCGGAACAGAAAAACATTCCATTAAATCATTGACAACGCAGAGCTGCTCAGCAAAATGAAGCTCTGGAGATGTGTGCTGGAGGCTGCCTCGGAATTAAAAACCCCGATGGGATTCCGGAGCAACGTCCCACTGCTTTGAACTTCTCGGGGCGTTTTAGGGGGATGCAAATAAAAGACCAGAGGTAGCGGCTTGGTCTCCGAGGGATTCACGCTGGAAGTGCCGACAGCAGGAACGGGAGCGGAGCTGTGGGATCCGCCCCGACCCACGGGGAGCCCAGCGGGAACCGAACCAGGACAAATCCACGGAGGGAGCTCGGGTCGCAGGAGAGGAACGAGCCCTCCAATGCAGATCAGGACTGCAGCAAAAAGGCTCTTGGCAAGATTTGGTTCCCCACACAGCAATGCCTTGGAGCGCCCACCTCGCGTTTCCTCTCTGCATCTTTTACAGACACTCGATCAGAATCAGTGGATCATTGCAGTAGCTTAATAACTCATCTATTTTACAAGTCAGGAAATGAAAGCACCTAAATGACTGAATAAATATCACAAATTAGCAAGGGTCTACAGTGCTCATCAATTTTAACTCCCATATAAATCAGCAGCTTTGGTAGACATGAACACTGTTATACAGAGGCACCCAGAAATTTGGCTTTGATGATGTAATCAAATTCAGAAAAAAAGGGATAGTCTAAATTTAAGTTCAACAATTCCTCTCCTCTAGACAGCTTGTAGGAATAAACATGTTTACTACTGCTTAAACTTTTAAATCAGCTTAGCAGACTTGAGAAATTGAATCAAGACGCTGAAATTTGAAGTGCCTAAACACTGAGACCTTCCCAGCATTAACCACAATGCTACAGAAGAACCATTAAGAAACAAGTAGTGGCATAATGCAGGCAAATTCCATTCTGAGACCCAGATTCTGCTTTCAAGACTTCTTATGAAATTATTTCCTTGGATCTCTTGGTTGG